AATCGACTTCAAAACAAAGTTTTTGATTTCTAAGAAAAAAACAAGCATTAATCTAGACGTAATCATAGCTTTCGATTTGGATGTAATGTGACTCCTAAGAGGTAAAAGTAGAATTTAGATATGGAAGATCACTTGAGTTTTGTTGAATTTTTGTCAAACTTAAAATACATATGATATGATCGGATATAGTTTCGTGTTATTGTGTGAAACGATCTTCAAAAAATACAAAACAACTTTCATATATGTGAGAAGAATATTTGTTTCGATTGCCAATTTGTTACGATCGAATTCGTACAAGCTGTTTATTGCGTCGTGTCGATCTGTCCAATTAGTCTATTTGTTATCTTAGACCAATTGGTCATCCTATTCTTTTCTTAACCAATTAGATAAGTGTGAAATGATTAATTTTTTCTCTTACCGGAAACAGATAAACATCATAGACAGGGAGAGAGAGAGAGTGATGACGAATTTTTTTTTCTATCGTTTTTTTTCGATTGGTTATTCAAAATTAGGCATTGTGATCAATTTACAGTATAAATAGAGATGATTGTAAGCAGTGGGTCAGTATTCAAATAATACAATCAGTCCATGCTCAACCATTTTATTCGACAGGTAGGTTTTCTCTGAAATAATACTTGTCTCTTTGACTTATGGCACTTCAATTCACGGCTACGAAGCAATGTTTGCCGTGCGTTAGTGTGTCATGCATCGAGAGACAGCTTGTCGACGATATTTTTTTTTTCTAAATATATATTTAATTTGAAATTTATATTATTTTAAAGTAGTTCAGTTTCGATCAATGGCACATTATTTGAAGACGGTTGAAATTAATTACTCCGTGTTTATCAGTGTGCCAACAATCGATCTGAATGTTATTAAATAAATGATTATGAAGTTGGAATTCATGTCGAGTATGACGAATAAATACATTTCAGAGAACATGAAAAAGTTGAGTCTAAGAAAAATGTATTGAAACAAGTATTTTTTGAGACGAGAGTATCAATAAATTAGTTTATCTGAAAATGATGTTCTGTTAAAACAAAATATTTTGATCATCTGTTTAATTGTATTTTAATTAAATTGAGTTGTCAAAAATGCAATGGAATGAATAGGCAGAGCAATGATAGATGATGAGAAAGGTATGATATTATGTAAGTTGCACAGCTTTATGAGATAAAAATTCTGTTTTAGACTGATGGCTGTAAGATAGAAAAAAAATGCGTTTCGTCGTGTTTGTAATGAATAAAATCACAACATTTATGTACTTTCTGTGATATCAAAGCAAAGAATGTAATATTGAATGTCTGATATGAAATAAAACTATATTGTGGTTTAAAGGACGTTGGTGATATAAATTTCGTCTGACGATATGTTGTTGTAAATAATGCTGCAATAATAATAATTATAGACACGTGGTGAGATCATTTGTTTTTATTTAAAAGTAACAGTTGGATGTGAAAGTGAATAAGGACAATCTTTGTTTGAAGTTCATCGATGCTATATAACGAATTTTTGTTTATCATGTTTAGAGATGTACGCCAATGCATTAATTGGCGGCGGCGACAGTCGAAAGTTTCGATGCTTTGTTTTTAAAAATTTTCTTTTCGTCGGTTAAATTTAAAAATCAATAAAGGAGGAAATGATAGTAAAGAACGTGACAAGAATAAGAAATTAGGAAAGAATATACATGAAAAATGATTCTAGATATCGAAAAATTTTTAAAATGTACTTTTATTTCGTGTCGGTTTCTCAATCTATTATAGTAGATTAAGTTTTCAATGTGTCTCTATCGAAAATATTGACCGATGTTTTGAATCAGTTTTACACAAGTAGAAAAGCAGGAGAAAAATGTTGTTCTACCTCAGCGTACTGTGAGGATATGTCAAAGTTATCCTCGAGGAGTTTTTAGGTATTTCAGGTCTATTATCAACATACATCATAAGTATATCAGTTTGAGTTTGTTCTGTGGAAGTTTATAAGGCAATAAAGTCGAAATATTTCATCCTACTTTAAGATTAGAGTATCAATTATGTACAGAATTTTTGGTTTTGGTTCATTGGACTAATGTCTCTCAATAGAATGTTTGTCTTAGTTGCTTCTGCAGAGACAGTAATATATGTTTCATGAAGAATGTATGTTTGGCTAATTTTAATATTTTCTTTCATACATTTGAATATCTTTCATATAAAAGAAATGTCTATTGTCAAGTTTTTGATTATGATACACATGTAGCTGTTTGGGTATATTCCAAAGAATGTAATTGTAATTCTTTGGTATATTTCATTGGCATATTAATGATGAAGCAGTTTAGAATTGGTTTCAGTTTCAAAGATATTTATTATCGATGTAATGTCAAGTAGTTCTTTTAATTTTAGTAATTTAGTTAAATCACTGGAGAAACTTGATTTTATAGATGGATGATTTGAGTTAAAGAGAATGTTTAACCTCTTAGATCGTCAAATTTACTTTTTATTCAGCAGTATTTTATGAAAAAAAATTAATACAACTTTAATTTAAGAAAGTCATTGTAATGACATATCTCAAAAGATAGTGACAATAGAATATCAACGTAGTTTTTCGCCAATCTTATTAAAAAATTCATCCCATGATAAATAACTTTTCTCATATTATCTCATTAAATCAAAAATTCATTGATTCTGGAGAATATTTTTTTTCAGCTGTGAGTGTGAGAATGATGACGCTCACTAGCTATTCGAACATCGCTTGTTCAAATGCGGCCTTGTTAGCCTTGCTACTGATGAAAATGTCGCATAGTATCATTACTATTTAGTTTATTTTTTTCTCTTCAAAGTAAGATTTCTTCATTATAATTCTGAAATCGTTCAAAAAAACTGTTTCCGAAGATAGAAAATTATTTATGTCGATGAAAAGACTAGACTTCAAAAGTGGTCCTTCCCTTATAATGTTTCTTAAAAATATTAACTTATCGTTTTCTTTTTTTTTATCTGTAATCAAATTTCTTTGCAAGTTTAAGTAATGCAATTGGTACGAAATGCACTGTTTGTTTTTTTTTGTGATCAAGCAATTACAAATCTTTTTTTAGTAGAATATATTTGTAAACTCGGAATCGTTGATAAAGGCATCAAGTTTATTTGTAAATTATATAGGATGACAGTATACAGGTATTATTATTTGGCAAACAACTTATACAGTTTGTTGTACAAACTATTCGGTTATTCTGTTGTGGGTGTGCATACAGCGATGATTTCTTGGTTGAATGTGACAACTTAATGAGAAAAATAATTCTTTCAGTTTAGTGTTTAGTATTTTTTTATTGCTCGAAATAAAGGTTTATAAGAGCACTCTGAATGTATAAATATTGATGAAATCCATGGGAATATATTCAAGGAGAAGATTTGACGATGAAAGAAAGTTTTCCTCAATGAATGATTGGTAATAACTACTGCTTGTCGTAGAATGTAGTCGAAATTTTTCAATATACTCAATGATGAGTCAATCAAAGAAAAGAAATAATATTTTTTTATTTAATTCTTGATGTTCAAATGATCACAGACCTAGACATTGGTATTAATACGATTGAAAAAAAGAATTTTCTTCTACTACGATATCAGTTGAACTATGGTTCTACATTGTGTTTTTAGTCCTACAATTGATTTCTAAAGACTAAGAAGTCATTTTGAGTTACTATTATTGGAGAGAATTTTTTTTCTGAAAAACAAGAAAATGAATTTGAGAATATCCAAAAGACTTAATTTGATTTTCTTTCGAGATTTTAGTACTAACAATATCAAACTTGAGCCAACAAGAAAAAAGAACATGACTAATGACAACATTAGTGAAGATTGTCTAACTTATAATACTTTTCAGGTATCCTACTACGAACATATCAAATGTGCTGAACTCGAATTTGAACATAAGAAGCACTTTAGCAGAATAAGTCATAGGATTTTTATTAGACTCGTCATCAATCTTATATAATTTCTTGTATTTATTAAAGACAGAGATTATTAATCTCAAAAGCTTCAAATAAAAGCAAGAATCAAGATTAATAAATTAATATATTAATTTTATTAGACATAGAAAATTTTAAAAAGGATCATTTTTCAGTCGTTCTTTCTGAATGTCGACACCTGCAGATAATCGTATAATGCAAAGAAAAAAAAACAACGTCATGTCTTTATCTTTATGGTATGAGCATACTGGTAACTAACAGTTTTCATTGCAGGGGTAATTTTGTTTATAGATGTTAGAAAAGCGTCGTTAGAGAACAAACACATGTTTAATTTATTAGTCATTTTTTCTTTTCCACAAAAGCAGAATGATTTAACGTGTTTTTTTTCTAAAGTGTTCTTATAGTTTTCAGAGAGACGACCTTGTTTTTTAATCGATAGACTTTTTCAAATAAGAATAATGACGGAACAGCGTGTATAGAAAAAGAACAGAAAAAAAAAATTACTTGCAAAAAAAGCAATTCTCTGTCATCCATTTCTTATAAGTTAAGTTGAATGAAGCGAGAGAAAAAAAATAAAACAACTTTTGATTATTGATTCTTAACTACCTGTTTACATTGTTAGATTGTTTACCTGAGCAGCAATCTCTCGGAAGAGTAGTCAAATGTTAATGTATATATGATTTAATTACTTCCTATACAATTATTGAAAAGTAAAAAAAAGAGAATTGTGTTATTTCAATATTGTTGTGAATTTCCATGTCAACCGTTATGAAAGTACGTCGAGGAGAAGTATGTATTCATCTATTGACAAAATAATAAAATATACATCTCTTTATAATGTATAATTAGATATATCCAAGTAAAACAGTTTCCTATGTTCGTACATGTTGGACATATAAATCTTGGGGTATGATCATTGGTGTTGTTACTTTTATATTGGTATTATCTGGTTTACATATTGGATGGGAGTAAGTTTTTTATACTTTTGAATATAATACTAAAAATACAAATTATTTTTATTATTATTTTTAATGATAGTTTTCCTATAATTATTAAAAATGGTCATATCTATTATCCAATTTTATTCTGTCTTGCACTTTTTTATACAATAACAAATTATCTTTTTGCATCATTACATGATCCTGGTATTTTACCACGACCAAATGCAGATGAAACTCTTCAAGTCGAAAAAGAACATAATATTCAAACTGATTTGTAAATTAAATTAATATTTGTTTTCTTTTTGTTTGAAATAAAAATTGAGTAAAATATGTTTGATGTTTTTTTAGAGAGGGAAAGTATTTTCCATCCATGCCACCACCAACAACGATACTCGTAAGAAATTCTCCATGTACATCTATGTATTGTTATACATGTCGAGTTTATCGTTTACCACGTGTTACACATTGTTCAGTTTGTAATGTGTGTGTTCAAAATTTTGATCATCATTGTCCATGGAGTAAGATTTTGTTTATTTTCTTTTTTGTAATATAAAAAATTACTTTGTTGATAGATAGAAAATTCTTCCGTATTATAGACAAATGAGTTTAAACTTTAATGATTGTTTCTCGTTATTTAGAATCAATTTAGTTAACTCAATAAATCAAAGTAACTCGATAAACTATCGTTTTGTCAGAAATCTAATGGTTGTGAGCTGACTCAAAAACGTAATATATTAGCGTGCAGATGTATTCATAGCTATGAAGAATAGTGATATGAAAATCAGTAGGATTTATCTGTTAAAGTACTTATTTAATTCACATTGAATTCAAGGCAAAAAGTGCTGAGATAAACTGCACATTTTGTCATATGATAACAGCTGATTCAAGCACTTCATACGCTCCGTTCGATCGAATGGATTTAACATATGTTAATGCATTGCCTCGATACATTTTTGAGTAAAAAGAAAACTGTTATTCATTCTTTCTATATTTGAACAATTAGAAATGTTTAGATTAGGCTATAATCTTTCTTTCTTTTTCCTTTAGTTAACAATTGCGTTGGTTTATTAAATCATCGTTATTTTTCGAATTTTCTTCTTTCATGTTCATTACTTTGTATTATTACAATCGCTGGTTGTGTTTTAGCTGCTTATTTTCGATGGGATATCTATAAAGACCAATCTGGTCTTTTCTTTGCATATAATATTCCAAGTTTTTTCAATGGCTTTGTTGGTCTTTGTCTTGCACTTTCACTCTTTCCATTTTGGTGTAATCATTGTGGATTAGCGATGAATGATGTAACAACAAAAGAAAATGTAAATTGATAACAAAAAACAGCTAATCGTTAAATTTAATTAATTCGTTTCTTTTTAATTAGGTAAGACATCGAAAAGGTTCAGAAGATAATGAATTTTCTACTGGTTCACGATGTCAAAATTTAATTCAATCTTGGTGTGGTCCATTACGACCATCGTAAGTTTTTGTTCTTTATAATAGTCTCCTTACACTTTGTATCATAGAGTCGATTGGAATGCATTATATGATGAAGATCATTATAGAAAACAAGAAGAAATATATAAAAGAATTCGTCCAACACTATTAAGCAATACACTTGCAGTACCAAGACAAAACATAAAAGAACATATTCAAAGTTTAGCGTTCAAGAATTATTTTGGTCTACATCAACAAGTTGAAGGTTTTTATCGAACAAATAAAAAAATTTCACGTAAGAGTAATATTCCATTGTATTGAAACCTTTTCCTATAATAGCAGACTTCGCTTAATTAATTGATATATTTACAACAGAAGTGTTCATGATGGATGGAAATCTACCGCTGACGCCATCGTGGTGGCAGTGGTAACAGTGATTCATGAATCTGTCGGATTTACAGTGTCCGTCCAAGTTATCCAAAGGAGTGTAAATTCGACTTTTTGCACTTGCAGTAGTTGCTATAATGAATCTAAATGGTGACTTGAATAGAGAAAATTATTTCCAACTAAGTTAAGAAAAAATTAAATTCCTTAGTATATTTCTCCAAACCAGAATTTTTAGAAAGCCTACGGTCTAGGTTTTAGCGCCCAGAACTCAATAATCGAACCTTATTTTTAGAGCGGAAGATGATAGAGAAGAATATTCTCAGTAAAATGTGAATAAGACAAAGAAAGATCTTTTAGAACTTTCTTAAATCAGATGCAGTTCAGTCAAAAAATGTCGTAGGCAGCTTCGGTGCGGTTCATTCTGCTGATAATATAGTTCTCTACCATTCTTCATTGTCAAAATGAACTTTTCTTATTGTGCTCTGAGTGCTGGAAGGATAGGCTTTCGGCTTTCTAGAAATCGTGGATTTGAAGAATATACCAAGGAATTTAAATTTCTCATACCTTGTTAGGAACAATTTTTTATATTCAAATCACCATTCTAATTCATAATTGGACCTATTGAAAGAGAAAAAAATTGGATTTACTCCTGGTAGGATAATTTTGACGACCCGAAGGACTTGGATGTTGATGAAGGTTTTTTCTTTGCTAGCATTCACTCTCTATGCTCCATCTGAGCTACAAGAACAAATCTCCTTAAAACTATATACGCCTGCATATAATAAAAGGCTCACATTCTTCTATTGCGAAAAAGGATTTAATCTAAACTTATTATAGAATTTTTTCAGAACAGCAATCGTCATTAATACCTGTGGATGTTATTAACCATCTTCCAATGCACAACATTGACATAAATTATATCGATAGTGCCCAAGTTAAAGTTCGTTATTTATTGATTGAAGGTAGTTATTATTGAATATAAATATATGAAATTATTGTTTTTACCATATAGCTGTTGAACGAACAAATATTTCAACATTTTGGAATACAATATGGCTTCGTAATGTATTATCTATTGTAATGCTTTATGAGATAAATGAAAATGTAGATAATGATTTTTATTTGGTTTGATTTAAATGTTTGTTTTTATTTTCAATAGAATTCCTTTATTCAATATTGGCCAGATGAAAAGAATCCATCAATGAAGGTTAATGATAATTATCAAGTAGATTTTATTCGTACTCTTAAACGATTAGATATAGTAACATCTCAATTCAAAATACAGAAAGTAATTTAAAAATATAAATGAGGATTATTAATATATATATATATATATATATATATATATATTTGATTTAGATTGGTGAAAATGAAACTCGTATGATTGAACATTTTCAAGTTAAAAATTGGACTGAAAAAACATTTTCATTGGATCCTATTGCTCTTGTACGTCTTCAATATAATATTGATAATCGAGAGAAAGAAGAAAGAATTCATGATACAAATCGAGGTATTATTGCTATACATAGTTGGTAAGAGGAAATAACAAAATTCAAATATTAATTTATTTGAATTCAATTTTTCTTGTTGTTCTAGTGAAATTAATACACGAGCATTTGCGTATATGACTATTGATATAAATCGATATTTATTAATACAATATACTTATATAAATGTACTCAATACAATAACTCGACTTAATGAACAATTACCAATATGTTTAATCAATGATGTAAGATGGAAAAATTTCAATTAAAGATATAAATAAATAATATATATTTAGCATGTGTTAATAATTGTTTATACAGTAATACTTCAGCTTTCAACATGGATTTGTCCGTCTAATATAATAACACTACAAGGTTTAAATCATGAAGTTCATAGAATACTTCAAAATGCATTTCAAGGATACTTTCATAATTCATTAGTGGATTTGTTTCAAGTAAGTTATTAATTTTTGATGATATTTTATCAAAGTCTTTTTTTTCATATATTTAAGACTGTTGGTGATAATTTCGATAGTGGGGTGGGGACAGCAAACTTCGAAAGATTTTATGAGATTTGATGATTGAAGTTTCTCCTCAAGTAATTTGTTCGTAGTTCTGACGAATTTTACTCGAGTTTATCATTACTGGTATACTACTAGGCAAAAAGTACTTAAACTTGAGTCTGTTTACCGAATAGTTTTTATTATAAAAAGAACTCGGTAAATGATGGTAGTAAGCATCAAATCGAAGTTGATCAGCCTGAATGCCTTGGATTTGAACAAAAAAATCATTTTTTTCCTTTAACTTTGAAAAAGGCTTTTTTTAGTGAGACTTTTCTGGTTTGCCGTTGTTTTGAAGCATTGATATCCTTCATTTTATCGAAGAATAAATTTTCAGATATCTTTACTGTGTCGCAGATTGAAGAATTTAATTTGCTGTAATCCTGAGACATAGTCACGTTTCTTTTATTTGGGACAGTTGTTACGAATATCTTCGCTCCACTAATGGCTATAATCACAACATATTCGCAGAATATTTAATTAGAGTTGACAACTCAACTTGGAAAATTTCAAGTCAATTGTTTCAAAACAGTTGAGAGAACAGATCAGTTTTTTTTGATGAATTCTATCAACTCTGATGCTACCAATACTCAAAGATACCCTTTATCAACAGTATTTTATCTAGATTTTCTCTTTCGGAGGGACGAGTTAAAACTCCTCGATAGTAAATGCACAATTTTTGGAATCACAAACGCATCGTATGTGGTATAATAACCACAACTTTCAGAAAGATACCATCCTCTTTGGCGTCTACGCTGGTTAAAATAATATTCATAAATCAAATAAACTATAATCGTTTGACATGAAATCTCTATTAGTGAAAGACATATTCGAATAAGGAATCTAGCATTGTGAAATATCGAGCTCTATTCGTTACCAAAATAGGTGATTAACGAATTCGTGTTTAGATATTTTTTACTGGATAGTGGAACTTTTTTTTATTAGCAAACAGCATTTCCTACAATCATTGCGGTCCTAAATGGAAAATGTATCTTTGAAATTACGTATATTCCAAAGAGAAGCAAAGCTTACTAAGAAGGATAATAAAGAGACATAAAAAGTAACCAATGTTGAGAACGGTAACGAGAGATACTTGAGCAAATGACAAGAGCAAAACAGAAAAACGAAAAGAAAGAAAGAAAGCAGCGTACGCGCTCAGCTAAGAACAAAAAGTGCATTCTTTTGTTGTTGTCGACACTAACATATTAATCACGGGTAGGCTATGTTGTAACCGGTTCATTCCCGTTAAGCTTGCATAATATGCTAGTCAGCTGTTTATTTTGTTCGTTCAAGTGACGATCGATGAAATTTTTTAGTTCTAAAACTTTTTTTTTGTCTTTGTCTTTATCACTACCACTATCCACCGGTTCA